CGTTATAGGCGTGTAATCATTCTCTCATGCCGTTCTAAGCGTTGAAGACAGACCTTGGCACTCAGTTCGAAACATCCTGTCCTGTCTTGTGAACACGTAGTAAGTAAGTCCACGGGGTTCCTTGGGACTTCACAAGCGTGCTTTCTCACAATCATCACGAATTATACTGTTGCGCTACCCGGACAAGTTCGTGTGGAAGGATTTACTTTAGAAGGGGAAAACTGACTGATGGAAGTAAAAAAAAAGTTGCACGCGAGCTTACGTTGGAGATTATTATATTTTACACCCAAGACGGGTTTATTTTCCAAGTTTCTATTTTGCCTCTATCATCAGGGCGATGAGCCCTGATGATAGAGGCAGCAAGGACCTCTGAAACGTTGATAATCTTCTACCAGACTACACAGCGCTACAACCCAGAAGACAGCCATCTTCAGACTCACCTCCATGAAAACCTCATCCTACCAAATATATGATCTTTATCCATTGCAATTGTTTATTATTATTATTATTATAGTAAACTTTTATGCCTTGTCAGTTATACGTTTGTAATTATTTTCTCTCATCATGAATATTGTAACACTAAAGGCTTGATAAAATGCGGTACGGAAATGGATCTATGAGGAATGTAATGTGTATATTAGACTTCATCATTGGATTTTACAAGAAATACAGGTGTTATCTACTCCCAGATTCAAATCACTTGTTTTTAATTGCTTGGAATTGCTTTCAAGCTTCTAGTTATGAAAAAAATTAATCAGGGAATAGGTACGTAAATTCCCATTCAAGGTGCAAGCGTACAAATTTTATGATTTGCATTTACTCCTAAACCTTGTTAAGAGCGGCCTTCATTAATAGCCGACTTCTGACATATATGTCACGAAGTTCATTCATTATAAGAGCCAGGTTTAATGAAAACAAATTAAACCTGTCTGAAATAAGAGGCTTTTATGATTCTGAGAAGTATCACACTTATATTTTAGAGAGAATGCGTTATTTTTATCTACAGGTCAAGCCTTGATTAAAAATTAACGTTTTAATGGATATATTAAAATGATTTTTTCTTTAGATTTTCTTGCGGTTTTAATCGCTTTACTATTATGAAAGTTTTTATCGGT